CTTCCTTGGCTATAAATGAGAAGCATGCAGCCAGCATTTGATATAGAGAAGAGCAGAGCTGCAGAGAGAGAAGTTAGCAGAGAGAAAGAAAAATAAAAGATTTGGGCAGCAAACATTTGTTGTTATAATTGGTTATTTTTCCTTTTCTCTAAAATTGTACTCAATTTGTATTCTCCTTATATTCTTGAGTGTGTGAGCTTGGGTATATTTGGGGCTTGGGTTTCTGAGTGTTAAACACTATTGTATTCTCTCATTGATTATAGTGGAATACTCCGTCGTCTCCAAACTGGATGTAGGCATTGCCGAACCAGTATAAATCTTGGTGTTCTTGTTGGTGTTGATTTTGTGTTCATTATTTTATCTCCTGCCAGTTGTTAATTTTTCACTCGAAATTGGTTGACGCTTCCGCACAACAGGCATCAGCAAGGTGACAAAGGAGGGTGATGAGAAAACATAGAAAAGGTACAGGATTAATGGTTTTCGGGACACTAGGGAAATAAAACATATTTTGTCTTTCAAGGTTTGCACTACGAATCACCATCTACAATAACAGAGAAAGATTTATCACTTTATATATAGCTAATTGTGTTATCCTTCCTGTTTCACCTTTCTCTACAAGTACATACGCATTTCTAGGAACTCTCCCTGTCTTAACCATTGAATTAACAGGTAATTTATTTGAAGGGTTATTAATTTTCAGGCTTATTATATTCTGTCTTTTATGTCTTAAGCAGAGGACTAAAAGCTTATTTGTGTCCAGTATTGTTGTGAATTAGTTTGTTGGGATGTTTGACTTCTTATTCCAAGCTGGCTAGCTACGCCTCACCATAAAGTTTTCTCGGATTGGACAATGGACTTGTCATTATTTGATACAAAACTAATAGATAAAGGCAAAGACTTCAAAAGCAATAAAATAATTGTGACTTACTGTTTTCCCTTCGTGCCTTTCCTCTTCTGTAGCCACCATGAGGCTCACCTGATCTGCTTCTCTTCAAAATATAATTGTCACTTCTTGTATTGCTTATCTTCTTTAACCCACCCGCAGCCAATAGCTCTGGTTTGCTTCGGCCCCCAACTGTTGACTAGGTAAACCTGATTGTTGATGGCTTGTAGAAAGGTCATGAGGGCTGGCTCATTACGCTTGATGCTTAGATTCAGCCAGAGTCATCATTATTATGGACATGGGGATCTTAGGTCCATTGGGCAGAGGACCCAATAGGGCCCCAGGTTATGTACGGCCGGCCAGCCACACTAGACTCTAGTGACTAGAGTGAGATAGGGTTTCACTTATTTGAAGCTCATATTTAAAGAACCTCATGCCTCCCTTCCATTTTAGGGTTTTGATCATTTTTGGTTACTTGGTTGAGAGGAAGGGTGGGCAATTTGGTGAACCGACAAAACAGGTCGAGGCAAACTGTACTGGCTGGTTTAGTTTGATTTGGTTTTGACCAAGAAAACAGTTAAATGGTTTAAAAAACGAATTTGATTGTAATTGTTTGGTTTGCTTTTGAGCTTTTGCAAACTGGCCTAAACCGAACCGGATGGTCTACTTGTATATTTATATTTATATTATTTTATTTTACACGTGTAGTCCTCTCATTGGATAATAACTAGATAACGATGTTGAGTTTGAAGATTGATGAAACTTTAAACTCTAATTGCTAGCACCATCTTATTTAAGGCTTTATGATCTTCATCCCAGAATCAAGTTGGTGAAGAGACTTGGAGTGGAGGTCACATATATCTTTGTGACTTGGGGAACTTTCTAAAGTGAAGGAGAGAAGATCAAGCTTGAAGCTTCAACAGTCTTGATGAAATAGGATACGGTTGAAAGAGTAAATTCCATCGCCTTTTCCTCTTAAGTTTTTGTTTTTAATTTCTATGGCACATCAATCACATGTCCTAGAAGAGACTTGATTTAATGCTTCCTTTGCCATAATTTATTTATGTTATCACGAATCTTCAAACCACGGTTTCCTTACCTCACCGGATAAATAGAAAAACATGAGATTAGACAAAACCACTAAAAACATTACGACCAATGGAGGAGCCACCCCTAGGCTAGGATTGGCCTTGTCTAGAATTTTAAAGCCCTCCTTTACTACATGCATGCTATGATACAAAAATAATTATAAAGAGCGTGCAATTCAAATTAATAGCCTGAAATATATCGTAACAAATTAGACATCAATAAATTAGAAACATTTTGTTCTAACCCATAAGAGGTTTTAAATAGTAGTGTATGCATTTCTCATAGTGTTATATTTTGGGTAATGAATGATCATGGAAGGAGAATCCCAAAAATGAACAGTTACATACTTTATAGGCAAAGTAGTGTGTTAAAGTTCCTCTTCAAAAATTATGGGTGAGCTAGTTATTTTAACCTTAATTATTTATAATTTATAGGTAATTTTTTTATTTACTCTTTTTATACAAGCGATATTCTACTTTAATTTAATCTAAATTGTGGATAGGAGTAACTCATCACTTCATGCAAGAAAGAGGCATGTTTTTTTTTTTGTTGAGAAAAAACAAAATTAGAACAATTTATATGCTTTTTCTTTTCTTTTCTTTTTTGTTTAAATTGTGTTTTTAAAATTTTGTTTAACAAAACATGTGGCCCGTTCATAGTTTATATGTAAGCAAAAGACTGGACCACATACATGCCGAAATCAAATAACTTTGAAATAGATGACGTAATTACGTAGTTGAAGGAATTAAAATTGAGATTCGAATCAAGTAGAGAGGTAAAATAATAATTAAGCCTATTAAGAATCAAGATCCGATTTTAGCTTTTGACCTTTTCAAAATTATATTAATAAATCCAATATCACCAAACACAAGAATGGCTTCTGGGCAAAAATTACAGACTTTATGCGTATATGTAAATATATTGCGCCAATGGCCATTAAAACATCTTTTTTTTGGGGGGGTGCGTTTGAATTGAAATATCCATGTTCAATTTTACTTAACATGGTTTGTTGAAAATCATTATTTATCCATTTCTTGCGTCTGTTATTATATTATATAAATATATTGCGCCAATGGCCATTAAAACATCTTTTTTTTTTGGTGCGTTTGAATTGAAATATCCATGTTCAAATTTACTTAACATGGTTTGTTGAAAATCATTATTTATCCATTTCTTGTGCATGCACATGCCTTCGGATTCTTATTTGTGGGGCATAATTGTTTTAATGAGCTAGAATTTCGAGCTCATAGGGGTGATAAGTCTTACTTGGATTCATTAATCATAGAATTATCTAGCTCGTTCTAAACGGTTTGGAACTGGCTTCATAGGGAAAAAAAAGGGAATAATAGTTCCTAATTTTCTATTTGGGCTAGTGCAATGTTGGAGTAAAACCTCTCACAGGCACACACGTTGCGAAGGATGTATTAGAGACGCAGCTCAAGAGCTTCGTAGGCTATGCCCTAACAAGCTAGGAGGCCCGATCATAGTTTATATGTAAGCAAAAGACTGGACCACATACATGCTGCATCAAAAAAACTTTGAAATAGATGACGTAAGTACGTAAAAAGAGAGACAAGTTGAAGGAATTAAAATTGAGATTCGAATCAAGTTGAGGTAAAATAAATTAAGCCTATTAAGAATCAAGATCCGATTTTGGCTTTTGACCTTTTCAAAATTATATTAATAAATCCAATATCACCACACACAACACAAGCATGGCTTCTGGGCACAAATTACAGACTTTATGCGTATATATAAATATATTGCGCCAATGGCCATTAAAACATCTTTTTTTTTTGGTGCGTTTGAATTGAAATATCCATGTTCAAATTTACTTAACATGGTTTGTTGAAAATCATTATTTATCCATTTCCTGTGCATGCACATGCCTTCGGATTGTTATTTGTGGGGCATAATTGTTTTAATGAGCTAGAATTTCGAGCTCATAGGGGTGATAAGTCTTTACTTGGATTCATTAATCATAGAATTATCTAGCTGGTTCTAAACGGTTTGGAACTGGCTTCATAGGGAAAAAAAAGGGGAATAATAGTTCCTAATTTTCTATTTGGGCTAGTGCAATGTTGGAGTAAAACCTCTCACAGGCACACACGTTGCGAAGGATGTATTAGAGACGCAGCTCAAGAGCTTCGTAGGCTATGCCCTAACAAGCTAGGAGCTATAATTTGGTACGATGATTGCCTTTTCAAATACTCAAAATACAAAATTCTTTCATGTACCAGATACAACTAATGCGGTTTATGCAATGAATACTGAATCTCTCAGTGCTCCCCCCTAATACTCAAGTTCAAAACCCCCTCCACGTAAAAGATTAATGTAGACTATCACTTGTATAAAAAAAAAATTTGGAAAATAAATATTTTATACAAATTTGAGCTCTTGGTTTGAAAAAAATAGTAGTCGTCACTTTTCTATTTTTCTTTTTTCAAGGTCAGGTGTAAAGTCTATGTTTCAGCTAGTTGGCTTTCCGCAAAAATTGTTAGAGCTGGTCAATGGAACCTTCTAAAGTAAAGACCATTTCAAGCTGCTGCAGGTACACTCACTCATGCATGTGCATTTCGTAAGTTTATAAAGTTTATAAAGTTTTCAATTTCTTGGTCTGTATGACTAGTTTGATTACCTAGCCATCTGCAAGGTCCTGGTGCAGTGTTCCACCAGATAAGATGTGTTTGGTTTGGACAAAGGTATATATGGTGATAAAGAAATAGCATTTACTGTTAAGGAACCTATTTTCCAACTTGCGTGACGTATGGCATGTTGAGTTTTACTTTCGTTGTTATGTAATGTAGTTTCGTGTCAAGCCACATAAAATGAGAAAATGAATGAGGAAAAAGTCAATCATAATAATTGTGGGAACACATATTTAATAAGAAGACGATACGTAGAAAAGGAATATTCCTTTGATCAACTAATTATACTAATTAAATTTTATTTAATTAGAGAAATTATCTTTGATTTAATAGAGGAATATATCCCTAAATCAATGAACCAATTTTCACCAAATCTCTTGGGTTAATTCCTATAATCTTTTTGGGAAAGAATAATCATAACCAAATAAGGATTATTCTCCCAAAATCCTAACATACAAGTAGCACTATAAATACATGGCTACACAAGACACTCAAGGTAACTCGAAAAACCCTAGCTAATTGCTACCGAAATTCTTCCTCTCCAAAACCCTAACATACAAGTAGCACTATAAATACATGGCTACACAAGACACTTAAGGTAACTCGAAAAACCCTAGCTTATTGTTACCGAAATTCTTCCTCTCTCTCTCTCTCTTCGCCGCACCCTCTCCCTCTCCTTCACACGGCTCCGGCCAAATACACACACGGCTCAGATTCCCAATTGATCATCAATCAAGCATCAAGAATCAACTCACGAATATTCCTTGTGTGGAAATTTGCTTAAACAATAAATAAGTAATTGACGACTGTGATCAAAGAACATATATACCCATAAATGAAGATGACAAGGTACTTAGTACTCCAGTAGACCATATGCTTAACCAAAATTCTTTTTTGGGACCAAATTGCTATAACCATCAA